TAATAGTAATAATAATAATAGTAATAATAGTAGTAATAATAATAACAATAACAATAATAATAATAATAATAATAACAACAACAACAACAACAACAACAACAACAACAATAACAACAACATCTTACTCTCTGTAATATTTTCTTCTCCCAGGAACTTCTCATTAAAGTCTATGTTTTTCAGCAGACTGTTCTCAGACAGAGCCTTCGTTGCAGCCTCTGGTTTGCTCTGAAGCAATCTGAAAAAAGAAAACACAAACACACTGTAGGGGGAACAAAACAGCTTTCTCACAAAAGCGGAACCATCTGGAATTAGATCTACTAACTACCAGCACTTTTAAGGATTCAGAAACAATGGAATTTGAAACTATAGTCCGGCATACTCATCATCTGAAGACAGCAGCAACACACAAACATTGCTTTGTGCATAACAGACAATATGTCTTTTGGTTCTTATTGTGGAAAAATGAAAATAAAGGATTTGCTGGTCTGATAAATGTTAACAGCTTCACTTCCTCTGTATTGAGCTTACTGTATTCACTACTTTATGCATTTCTAAAATCAGTTTACAAGAGCCTACACAGTAGTGAAGTTAATTTACATTTTCCATTACAGCACATAACAGTACTTTCACACCTAAAAGATGCTAAGGGACATTGATACAATCACTTAAATCCAGATTAAAATTATTAAAAAAAAAAAAAAACACAAACAAATAAATTTAGGATTAAGTCAAGGTCTCACCTCCTATACTGCTGCCTGGAGACTTCATCTCCACAAAACAGACAGACAGTAGCCAGCAGTGCATTGGCTGACTGACACAGATTCTGTTCTCTCTGGGTGGACTTCATTAGCACAGTGATCACCTGAAAACACACACAAATATTTATAATAAAATCTACTGTCTTGTGTAGCACTTTTCTGAACTAGAGTGTGATTCACATTACTTGTATCCCCTCTCTCCTACCTCTTGTGTCCTTTCCTTCAGTACAAACTGTGACGGGGCGAGGCTGATGACAGACGGTTCCATAACTGATCGTTTCTGCACATCAGAGAAGGCTATGGCTTTGATGAAAGCTGCTCTGGAGCCAGTGTTCCTCACGCACAGACAAACTTTGCTGACACGACTAACAGCTATATCGGTCAGTGTCGCCACATAGCCGTCAGCCTGTTTCCTCTGGTCCTCCAGGATTATGTTGCTGGTCCCACCGTAGCCCGACAGTGGAATCTGAAGGTGGGAAATATAGGAGCTAAATTAAACTATAGCCCAAGTCTTTCAATAGATAAGAAAACTTGGCCAAGAAAAGGCAGAGAGAATGAGGCAGGAGTGAGAATGTGTAGAGGATAAGAGAGAGAAACGCAAAGTGATGGCGGACTACAAGCAGGAGAGTAGAGAGAAATGGTCACATCCTCACAGTGAACTTGACCCCTGGCTGTGAAGGCCGCACTCCAGACTGTTTGATCTCCAGCTTGGCCAACATGCAGGCCACCCTGGTGGGAGCAAAGAGCAGGTGGACGGTCACGTCCTCTCTGGGACGAATGGACAGCTCCCCATGTCGGGTCAGACGCTCCTCGGGACTGAACATACTCTGAAGCTGAGAGAGACAGGTTTATATACTAAATGATGATATACATTTGAATAGTGTAGACATTACAAGCAATTAGTCAAATTATTTATTATGGTTTTATAGAAGTTGTTTTATCAGACGAGAAATTGCAGAATGTCAGGAGAAAGGGTGACAAATTTGAACCCCGTAAAAGGGGAACTCCCGATTTCACACACTAGCCTGTATGTAGGTCGAGTTTTTTTGATACTATGTGATTAAAACGATATGATCTCGTTCTCAAAACCACTGGGCCCAGAGTAATTTTATTGATTACCTTCCAGTGAATAAATGATACCTAAAAAATTTTTTTTCTTCTAGAACCAAATACTAATGAAATAAATAAAAAACTGAAAAGTAGCTTACACAGCTCGCCCTAGAGTGACCCCTCCCCAGGCTACGAACTGTTTATTCGAGAGAATTGGTGGAATATCATTGGCCACACCAGGACCAAAGACAGCAGAGGGAATAGCAGGTTTCCTAGAGTCCTCTGGGACAACTTCTCCTTTCAGGGTTACCTCATACTCGTTTTCGTTAGATATACATTTGATAGTATGCTAAATTGGTGAAATACTCCTTTAATGCAACATTAATGTATTCATCTTAGGCCTCTTCTTCATCTGGTTTTATCTACATGTATCTGTGTGATCCAGCTAGTTGTACAAAGAAAAATCTGATTAAATAAAGCCACATTTGGTCACAAATACTTGGATCGCTGATTACAAACATAAGGTATTATGGAAATGAAAATAAACTCTGCAGGTGATCCCAAAACACAAAAGTATCCACACATCTTGGTGTGGATACTCTCGATGATCTAACATACCTTGTTCAGTTTTTAAATATGCAAATATCAAACTGTACCTGAAAACAGTCCTGGTCTTGACCACGAATAAGCAGCCGTAGCTGCTGTGTGGTGTTAGTCGAGTTGTTCCTTAAAACCAGCTTCTGTTGGCTGAAAAACAATGGTGGCTGTTGGTGATAACAGTGTGAATGAGTTCTGTGTCAAACTTTGCTTTGAGATTGAGAGTCTTAATCTAAATGTCCTCATTTGTGTAGAATAGCAAATTCAAACCTGGATCCAGTTAAACTTTAAAAAATATATATCCATCCTATGGGAGAGTTAGCTTTCTTACTGCTGTCTGTACTTTAACTCCCTTGAATGAGTGTAAATAAATTGTGCATTATCTTGAAATACCTTCTGAGGAATAACACTCCCTGTAGACAGCCTCTGTCCCTTCTCATGAATAACATTATACAAGCCTTAATAGAATACGGTGGAACACTGGGCCTTGAGTTTTTTTTATTGATTAGTT